TATACGAGCCAGTTTCCCTTAGATAGTCCTCCACGAAGGCATCCCTCCCCTTAGGCAAATAGCCCTCGAGGCTTTGCCATAATCACACACATACCACTTAGCAGAACTTACGATGGGTGTGCGTTTACTATAAGCATGATTTTGTTTCCTTTTTGTTTCTTTCTAAAAAATTAGTACGAAATTATCTAAGCTTAGTATCTACAGTTTGTCTTTTTTTACGAAGCATGATCTAAACACTGAGAACATGTAATAATACGGATAAAGGTTTTGACGAAGGATAATTATTTTATGTGTTTCCTCAAATCGATTTATTTAAAAAGTAGCGTATGTTTCATAAATTAATTTATCATGTGAGTAAATATTTCTGCTCGTTGAATAGCCATTTATTCCTAATGTTTGCAGTCTTCCCATTCAACGAATCACTGCATTGGCTTCACATTATTTTCCTTTTAATTATTGAATGTATGCATGATTGAAATTACGGAAAACATTATGGTTGGAATGAAAATCGAAGTTATTTTCGGAATGTATGTTAAAAAGTTAATTTATCATAAAATTAAGTGAATTTTAATGTATGTTTCATTCAGTAAATGATGAAAAATATGTTTTAGACTTATGCTTAATGATCCTAATGAGTAATATTCTATGATTAAAATAAATCAGCGTGGGATATTTTACATATACGTTATGAAAAGCCATTTATTTTATTCTTAATGAAATATTATTAATAGGTCCTATTAGCCAAATTTGTTGCCTGGATATATAACAGAAGTAAAATAACACCTAAAATTCTTTTGCGCTTTCAGAAGTGTTCATAAGTATTTACACCATTCAAATATTATTGATAAAAAGAAAATGCTGCTGTAAATTCAAATAGATTGATGGAAAGGTCGAGAGACTTAATTTTTATTAACTTCGCTTCAGAAAATGTGATGAGTTATTGTTAGAAATTTTAAATGCATTTAATTATTTACAGAAGTAATACAAATAAATAAAATATTACACTTTTTCTCATAAGTTTTGATAGATCAATGAATTTTAATTATGTTTCAATAAGTAAAAGTATTATTTGCTCTTTTGCCTCCAAAGAAGCTTAAAAGCAAACGGGAGTTTTCCCAGTCGCCTAACCTTGTTTTTTGTTTCTCGAGAAAAATTTCACTTATTTACTTGAAGAATGAATTCTTGTAAACGCTTATGAAAATAATTTAAATTTTGAATAATTAATTTCTTTTCCTGGCCTTTATTTGATTTAAATCAGGAAATTTTGAATGAATAAATTTGACAATACTGCTCTTATTTCTAGAAAACATTCACCGTAAGTCTTACGTATTTCCTGTTCAACAATGATAGCACCATTAACAGGGATTGTTCCTCTTCATCTGTAAATATTGTCATTTGACTTCTACTTTGCCACATGATATATTAAGGAAATGGTTCTGCCTGTTTCTTTTGTATTAAAATTATTTTTAAGTTATTATTTAGTGGGATTTCACATTACTATTCAAAACACGAGTAATGATTCTGTCATGATGTCTTGCGCGTCATGGAAAGATCGTGGTTTCCGCTTCTACTAAATCAGAAATGATAAAATGCAGTTGTGTACAGTTATTTCCTGAAATGTGTTATAACTAAGAATGTCTTTACAATGAGTCATCAGTTATGTTAATAATTCCTTAACAGATGTTCAGTTGGTTTCTTAAACCTCCTCTGGTTGTAAATTTAGAGCTAAATCCCTCTAGGGCGTTAACCAAAGCCTTAAGTAATGAGTTTCGCTGCTTTGATGTTTGCATATTCAAGTAGTTTTAAATTGTTTCTCAAAGAGTTTTATTTCTCAGAGTTATTTTTCGAAGTTTTACTATCACGAATACTTGCTTGTAGTTTAATAATAGTAGAAGATTTTTATGAATTAATGTGATTCTCAATGACATGCAAAGCATTGTTAATTTTTCTAAACAAGACCTGGCTTTTCCAAAAGACATTCAAATTACACAAGGCATAAAATTTAATATTCAGCTTTGCATCCAAAGTTCTTTAAATAGTAGCCGTTTGTTTACTCTTCGCATATACGATAACAGCCTGCGGCACAGCTAAATAGCGGAACAGTGAAGGCCATATATATTTCGGCTGCTGCAAAATTACAATACCATTAGTCAACACCATTTCCATCAATATCCCGTTCTACCACCAAGAGTCTTAAGCAAACCTGTGCAGTTACGATTTGCTGTTGACAAGCCTTAAAATTGAAAGTTGCAAAAACTAAGCTGTTTCTGTTGATTTGTAATGGAAATAATCATATTAATTTTACTACTAGTTGTTATTATAATTGAACCATAATGTTAATGGTTTCTGTAAAGAGGTGATCGTTGTTTTCTGATTGTAAATCACAGTGAAAATATCAGAAGAATAATTTTAAGAGATTTTTACTACCAAGTTCAAAACTGCTGAGCAGATTGCTAGAGGTGCCCCAAAAATATATTTACAGAATCATTTCTGTAAGAGCAAAATTTATTTGGATAACACTTTGTACACTATGTTCATACTTTTTCTCATAGTTACCATAACTATTGAGGCATTAGCCAAGTAAGGCACAAGTGTTTCGATGCCACTCCTTTAAAAAATTCATTCAGAAAGTAGTGAGTCAGTGCTTTGATCTCTGCTTTTTTGACATCCTGGTCACTCTAAAATTTTTTACTATTTACCTCCTCGTAAATTAAGAAGAGGTAAAAACTATCTGGAGCCAGTTCAGGACGATATTGTGAAAGGCCTAAATTTACTGCCAGACGTTGTGCTTGAATTTTCCAATCAAAATGATCGCATGTGAGCGAGCGTTGTCAGAAGAAGTAACAATTCTTTTATCAACAACCCAATGTGATGTAATCTGCTGATAAAGTGATGGCTGCTGTGTTTTGGATCAGAAGGGTATTTTGTTGACCGATTGGTTGGAAAGAATAGCATCACTTAACAAAACTGTTTTTTCAGAGTAACAAAACGGAGCTGATATCAGATGTCATTTTGAATTTCCAGCCTTACGTGCAACTATATAAACCGTTTTAAAGCGATAAACATACGTAATTTTTATTTTAATAGGAGGAAAAAGCGACAAATATTAAAATCATTCAAATATTTTGAAGTGAAATATAACGGAACTGTCGAATATAGCAAAATTTTGATTTTAACAAACCTATGTACCATACACTCAAACCTGTTTTTGTGCGGTCTTTTTTTGCTCGAATTTTTATTTGTGCGGTCTTTTTTTTCTCGAATTTTTATTTGTGCGATTCGTTTTGTGCGGTATATGAAAATTTCAAAAGGAGCATAATCATACGGTTATATCACAGCAGAGAAAATCTGTGAAATAAATTGCCATAAATTAGAATGTCATTTTCTTGCAATCGATGTCAATTCTGAAAGAACTTCAAAATTCCAAAAGGAGCTTCAATCTTGTATATCTGGCTACCCAGACATATACAAGCGTTTAGTCAGTGAAACAACAGTATTCGCAAAAACTGATCACCGATTGCATGGTAACTGAAAAGCTTTATTTATTCATGGTAACTGGATTCATCATTGAAGGTGAATTCATGGTAACTGAATTCGTTGAAGGTATTCGTGGTAACTGAAAGCATGGTAACTGAAAAGTCAACTCTAAACGAGTGCGAAGTAGTATCTTCAAGTGACGAAAGCGATTTTGAACAAGTTTACCACAAGAAAGTTCGTGTATTGTCAGACTATGAATGATAATAGATATGGGTTTTTAAAAGTTTTGTATATGTTAAATAAGTACATATGTAAATAAAATATTTAAAAATGTTCGCATGCGCATTTTCTAGATCAGACTGAAAGTTTTGGCGAGATACCAAGTAGCTCCCGACCCTCGTGTCTTGATTTCGTTTGAAAAAGCAGTTTCTAGTTACTTCGTAAGGTTTTGAGTTATTTTCTATGTGAAAATTTTTTTATGCGGTCTCTATTCACAACATAAAAAATACTTTTTAATTGTGTTGCGAAAACTATATTTTATAGCTACTCGTGAAGTTCTGTGTGACTTTTTTTTTATGCGTTTTCGGTTATGCGGTCCCTATCCACCGCACAAAAACAGGTTTGAGTGCATTTTAAATTACTATCCGAGCATCAAATGAACTACATTGTGGACAAATGAACTGCATTGTGGAACACTTTTTTGCACATTAGTACACATCTGTAAATGTATTTACTTAGTTAAATTCTAAATATTATCTATATTCAAACTTTGTGTTAATCAACACAAAGTATCGCTGGTAGTATTAAAATGATACCTCAAACAAAGGGATTTTTATCTTTCTGCTCATTAAGCTTATACTCTAATTAGGATTTTTGCTTTGATTAAACTAACATTATATTACTCGGTTTTGCCTTAAAAAGTTGATCGAAAGGAAAGTGTTCCTGAATACGGTGGGTTTTTGTAAACTAAAACAGAATAAATTAAAGTATAGCCTAATCAGATAATAAGGCGCATCTTTGGTTGACTGGAATTTGAATCACAATTTCTTAAATAGATGCGCCTTTGCTTTTTTAGGATTACTATATAAATAATCTTTCATATGTATAAAATGTAAAAAGCTGAATACAGGGACTACTATTCTGCTTATCCCTATTCAAAATGAATTTGTTTTCAGTTTACTCGTAAGCTGCAGTAGGAAGTTTAGTTGATGTATAAAAATAAATATTAAAAAGTTCAAAATTTTAACAGCTTAAACCGCGAAATTCTAATATCAAAGTAGATGTATTATTTTAATTTCATTTACAATTTTTTTATCATAAGAATGTTAAATTGGTCACCTTAATATTGTTGCTAATTCTTCTTCTGTATAAGAATTCCATAAAATCCACAATTTATTTAAAAATATTGAGAAACCTTAAAGTTAAGAGCACAAAGTATTTTCTTAATATATGAATATATAACAAAAACAATCAAAAATAAAAAGACGTTTAGAATATGCATCTAGTTATTATTTTAGAAAGGAAATTGCACAAAATACAAGAATATGGTGGGTGATTTATCAAATAAATTGAATTCTTAGCAAGCTTCACGGTGAATGAGCTCTCTGTAATAAAAAAAAAATTGCAATTAGCTCAGTAACGGACAGGTACAGGTAAAGGTAAAAATATAAGGGACAACAGGGATGTACTATGGGGCAACTGGTAATGTCTTTCCATACTAACTATATAAGGTATTTCTCCCGCCTTTTTAGCATGCCTTCGTGGTGTAGTGGTCAGTACGCTCGACGCGTATTCGAGAGGCCCGCGGTTCGATTCCCGGCGAGGGTGTTGCTCAATTTTTATCTTTCCTTTTCCGAAATAACCTAATGACTCTACAGTGGCGGCCGAGCTAAAAGGTGGTGAATGATAATTCTTCTCCATGAGGATTTAACGATTGGGTCCCCTAAAACCCCATTCGTTCTTAAAAAGGGGTATATAAGGTATTTCTTCCGCCTTCTTAACATGTCTTCGTGGTGTAGTGGTGAGCTCGCTCGTCGCGTATTCGAGAGGTCCTCGGTTCGATTCCCGGGGAGGGCGTTGCTCATGTTTCATCTCTCTTGATTCGAAATAACCTAATGACTCTATAACTAAGCCTAAAAGAAGTTTACAAGTTTTATAAGGGTTCACAAAGAAAGACTAACTAAATGAGCAACTGAAACTTTCCATGGGTCCTAGAGTTTACTTATTATAGTACATTGTGCAATCCCACCGTACACCCCGTATCCAGTATTTATTAAAAATAAGGATTTAGGGCATAAATAGATTATGATATAGTTTCAATACAATTTGAAATTCACAAATTAAATTAAAAACAGTTTCGAATGTAACAAAATTAACAGATAGCCATAAAAGTAACAGATAAACCTAATGAGATAAATATAATAGGTACAAGGAAAACAATATTATAATGAACTGTAATAATAATACTAAAAAGGTGTCCACAAGGTGAAATCTTTTGAGAATGACATCAAAAAAACCCATGCAAGTACCAATCTGAGAGAAGGGATTTTAGAATGCAAAAACTTGGAATACAGAAAATAATTTTGACAAGAAACCAATACAGTTTCAAAAATGATACTTAAATGGTATGGAGTGGGTTTTTACAGTTAATAAAGTTGGCAAGTGAAATCCTTTTGAACATATTCACAGGATGTAAAAGTTCATTAAATTTATGCAGAATAAGGGACTTATGCATGACAAAGATCTAGGCTATAGGAACAGAGTCGTTGCATAATTTTTTGAAACTTCAAATACTGAGGTTTATCTTTAATTAGAATCTTGTGAAATGCCAGGAGATCAGTTTGTGGGTATTTTATGTGATTATCGTCAGTTAAGGGTCATGAGAATGTGCAATGATCAAGAGTTCCCCTCATCTCCAGATCGTAATTCGCAATATTTCTTGCGTAGAAATATGTGGGGAAGGGTCCGTGTCCTACTATATGGTAATTTAATGAAGGATTCGAACACAGAGTTGCGAAACTCACATCGGGGACCAAGTTATACGTGCGTTTTCCCTGTGAAGCATTATTCCACAAATATTGCCAATATTTTGAAGTAATTTGTTTTAGTTGGTATTTGAAATCTGAACCACCGAGGCCATGCCATCTTGACCATCAATAGGAGACACTGGAGAAGTTTCTATAATCGCACGCTTAATGATGATGCTGTACAGAAATCTGTTTTGATGAAAATAAGCAAGAACATATGTGTCGCTTTTGAAAGCATTTCACAGTTTTTTCTTGTTATCGAATTATGAGTAATCCGCATTTCACTTTTTATTATTTACACTCGTATTATACATGTATATAGTGTAAGACATAGGACGCATTTATTATCTAATGTTAATTATCTGCTACTGTATATCTCTTATTGCTGTAATAAAAGAAACACATTCTTCTGTGTCTTTGAAACAACCTGATAGATTTTTTTATGAATTTATGACTTATTTATGCCTTCAACCAACGCTATACTTTACGAATTAGAAGACGAGTTAAGGAATTTGGTCAAGAGTATCCAATATTGAAAATTGCGTCTTTATGTGTCTTAATAATTTGTTTTCCGTGTCACTTAATCTTATTGTAACTGCATCTCTGTTTGCTTTTAATATTTAGATCACATAAACACAACTCTGACGCATTTCCTCCCGCACATAAAATTTTTGAAGCATAAAATCTGAAACAACCATGTTAACTTACAAGGTAGTTATGTAACCAAAACGCTTATGAAACATTACATACAGCATTCGTGTTGCTTGTTTTAAATTTGCTTACATTTTAATTAAACTGCTGAACATTAAATTAATGAACACTCACTCTGTTACTTTTACCTTCGAAGGGTATTACATTCCTAGTTCGTCATAACAATGTTTACATAAATAATTCAATTTATATATTCGTGGAACATTTCGTTTTTGCGTTAGTCACATTCAGAGCCCATAATAGTGGGCGCGACGTACATTTAGAGTAATTGTGAATTTGGCTGTGGTCAAATTTTGCTGAACTCTTTCCTTTTGCAGCTTAGGGAGTGGTCGCATTCTGCTTTTCCTATTGAATAATAAACTCAGTAACAAACCTTCTCAAATCTGTCTAATACTGGAGTTACTTCCGCAGGTACTAGGCTTTGATCTATCTTGAATGTCTTACTCAGATACAATGTATTTATATTAAATTTCTTAGGAATGCAGCAATAAATTATATTCCCGTTATTTTTATTAAAATTATTTAGATTCTATATTCTCTATACCTCACTTACGTTTTAATTTAGAAAACATTTTAGACTGAATGAGACACTAAAAAATAACTGAAAATTATAGTCCACGGAATAATCCTTATATTAGAGTGGGACATTAAAATCCTCGAATCCTACGAACCTAAAGATTCGAGGTTCAGAAATCGCAACACTCGCTTTTTTTTCGTTATTCGAGACTTTCGAACCATGACCTGTTAAAGCTTTCAACTCAGAACTTTGAAAAGATAATTTTATTGACGCCCAATTTAAGCATGGAGCGTTAAAAGAATGCTATTACTACAATATCAGTGAACTGAGTCTTCATGTGAATGTCACTTCATTATTAATTTTCTGGCAAGAGTTAATTGCTTGATGTTCAGGCCTAATCTATGTTATTTCATGACATAATCTCTTTCCCTGTATACTTGCTTTGATTTTAAAAGCTTCAGAGAAAATGCAAAATATTTTAGCTGATATTGAAATATTTTTTGTTTTATTGTATTGAAAAATTAGACTGAAAATTCAAGTGTTTTAATTATGTCCTTTATGTACTAAATTTCCTTGTATATTATTAATGAATATATGTGTCTTTTAAAGAAGCTTAGTCTTAAATTTGTTTTTCATGAAATGCATATTTCAAATTTTACTTAATTTAGAGTTTTAATATTTTCTCTTTCTTTTTTATTATTATTAACTATATGAAAAATTCGAGATTCGAAAGATCTGAGAACCTTTTAGGTTTACGATTCGAGAAGAATTCATCCCACGTCTACGTAATACTTACACGTAACATGTTCATTTATAAAAATGGATTGATTTGTTTTTTGTTGTAAATTCCATAACTGTCTTTGTATTACCTGTATTTTGTCATTATGTTTTATGAAGAACTCAAAAATTATGAAATTAAAATTTTGTCATACAATTACCGATGCATGAAAATAAGAACACATTTTGGGGTAAACTACAATAAACTGTTCCTGGTCAAAGTTCTTCAAATTACTGAAAAATTTCAATAATTTTTTTTTTTTGCGCTTTAGTTCGACTTAAAGTCAGAATTTCTTTCAATTAGTTAACTAACAGAAAAATATTTATAGAGAAGTCTGGTGATGGGACGTTTTGTTTCGAATAAGGTTTAACAAGTGTAGATTAGCTCTTTCTACTTTTCGCTAAGAACTCAGTTAAATAACAGCTTAACATCTTCTAATAAAAAAAGTATTTTTCTTAAATGTATTTTCACAGTCTTTGGAAAAAAACGCAATGTATTATATTTTAAGAGAAAAATGTTTTGAGGGATTTCAATGCTCATTTACAAGAATATGAAGCAATGTCTTCCCTGGAATAAGTTTGTAATCTTTTAGCTTTCACCGAAAATTTCAATGAGCGTAAGTTTCAGCTGTAATTCAAAAAAATATTAGTAATAGCTACGAAGCTATAAGAAATATTAAAATTTTCTTTTGACTGAAAGCACATTTATTGAGTTTTCATTTGCTTACCCGTTAATTAGAAAAAAATCTCTTCGAAAAATAGTTTAAATTTGTTTTCTAAATCTAGTATCATGATTAAGGAATAAATTTGAAAACTTTTTGACAATTCAATTGTGTACTTAGCTCAGCTGCTGCTTCTAAATTCTCAGCTTGTTTTCTTTTCAAAGGTTTTTAAACTTATTCTCGTTGTACTAGCCAATTTCTTTTTCCAAAGTTCTTAATCTCTTGCTTTTTTTTCCATTTTTGACTTGGAATCTTTCTTTCATTCCCAGTTTAGCGTAAGAGAACAAAAATCTCATTAATATGCAATCAGGCATTCAGTCTTCTTCTCTAGGCCGCAGCAAAGTGAAAACTTCCAGGTGGCTAATGTTGTAAAGTTAGAACTTCGGTTTCATCAATGTATTGAATTTTTTATTACTTGCTAGAAGAAAGTAAGTAATTTCAGAATAGGCAAAAGCGTTAAACTTTGGAAGAAGCCTAATTTAATGAATTTAAAATCTGCGATTAGGATTTTAGGTAACCACAAATATTTAATTTCCCTCTAATTAATTACAAAATCGGGAGGACGCCGGTTTAAATTAAAGTAAACTTGAGTTAAATTTTTTTCCGATCAGGCAATTAAATGTAACTCGACGTTTTGCTTTAATATGCGTTGGTTGGAAGGAAACAAGTTTAAAGCAGATTAAAAGCAGACAAGTGAATAACGATTCCGACAATGCGATTTGTTTAACAGTCTTATGTATTAATACTACTTATAACGGATTTATTTTAATGCGTTACAAATTCCATCCGGTGTAACTTTAACTAAGTGTGTTTGCATTTTTAGGCATACTACTAATGTTATTTATTTGGAATTTTTAATTGAAAGAATAACTTTTTATTTTAAATTGTTCTTAGATTAAATGTTTAATTATGAAAAAATGAGTAGTTTTTAAGAGTTCTGTCAAGTCCTCCGTGTTGGGCGGCATTCTTCTTTTGACAGGTGTTGTGTCAAAGGAAGAATGCCGCCCAACTCGAAGGCTGCCAACTAGCCCAAACCAAGACTGTGGGTTGGACTCCCGCTAAGCCTTAGTTGCTTTCTGTCTTCTGCACTCTTACCGTCGTTAAAATATTAGTCTGTCCCTGTGGGGTACCCTGAACAACGTTCTCGGTTATGAGGTGGCTAAATGATGGATGAATCTGGCCATTCCCGAAGAACGCTTTCCAGAAAAGATCCGCCAGAGGGGTAAAAATACTCTACGGAAACACGTCTTTATGGAATATATTTTATGAAAAATTGTCTCTAAACAGGTGTTGCACTGGCAAAGAAGTTGGTTGCGTGGGGTTTTCATACCATTCCCCATGAGTGATATGAATATGAAACTGTTTCGATTAAAAATTTCTCCTCGAAAAGGAGATAACTTTTGGATCTAAATTAACGCCGTAATTTAGAGCCCAATTTCTGATTAAATCTGCCGTAATCTAAATTATACAACCTAATCCATTATAGGATCAGAGTTTTTAAAAATAAAATAAAATTGATTATAATGTAAAAAACTGAAATACTTATTGGGAAACCGCTCCTTCCCTTTCCGGAAAAAACTTCTAATGGTATTTTAGAAAATCATGTCTTTGATTATATTTTATCTAACGAAAATACGGCAAATTTTTTATTTATGAAATAATGGGTAATTTTTCTTTTACTTCAATAAAGGTCGCAAAGTGAAATAGCACGCGGGCCGGGTGCACGATCTGAAAACAGCCAACGGGCCTTCCTTTTAACAAAATGAAAATTTTGCTTTAATAAGTAAATTCAAAATAAAAAATAAATAATGCTATTGATAAAATTATTTAAAATCTCTACATATAATAAAAGAAAGAGTCTATCTGTGTGTCAGTGTGTGTGTGTCTTTCGTTTGCGCTGCGCGTAAGCTAATAGTCCCACGGCTACGAAATTTGGTACAAAGGTGCATCTAGACAAGAGCCAGTGCACCTCGAAGCAATTTTTTCGAAATTCGAATTCGCATTCTTTTTATTTTATGTTTTTTGACGAAATCGCGTCATTTTGAGACATAATTGGCTATAGGAAAGCGAGATTTTACTCTACACACTCCATTTTCACATCGTCATGAAACGTAGGCACTTCGCTATTTACGAACTTAGAATAAATTTCGTGTTTCAATAAATCGATTAAATACGAATTTATTTAATAAAGTGAGCTTAACACCTTTTCACCTTTCTAAAAAAGTTTGTTTTTAAAAATATACAGTTTATTTTTCTTTGATTTATGGACACGTTAAACTTTCATCCTTGCGACTGCTTTTACAAAAAGAATTTTGGAAAAATGATAATATTTTGTATTGTTAAAAAAGTTTTTAAATGAAGCTTACGAGTACACTTCTCACATCTCACATCTCTAAAACTGTGATTTTGGCAACATTTTTCCTTTCTTATTGTTGTTGATAGATTTTTGATGAAATCGCACCATTTTGAATAGTTTCATTCTTTTAGAAATATGGGTTTGGCAACAATTTTTCATCGTATTTCTTATGTCACTGTTTTTAAGAGATTGGCATATTTCATTGTCATTTTTTTATATGTATAATAAATTTTTATTGATTTTTTTTTTGATAAAGTTGTTCTGCAGAGTAAAATTCTGCGCGGAATGTTTTTGTTTTTTGAGTTTCTTTCATGTTATTTTTTGCTTATTTCACTATTTGTAAGATATTGAAAAGTTTTGCATGATTTTTTTTCTTCAACGGAAAGTTGGTTAATTTTTTTATTAGGATAATTAATATTTGTATTGAGGGATATAGCTTATTTCATTGTAATTTGTTTCTCTTGAAAATATAAGATAAAATATCATTAATTATACTTTGCTTTTCAGAATTTTTTGTTTTTTGTATTCTTTTATGTTATTTATTGCTCATTTCACTGTCTTTAAGATATTGAAAAGTTTTGAGTGATTTTTTTTAGGAAACAAAGTTCTTAACTTCCTTTATAATATTTGAGTTCTTAAGATTTTGCAAAGGGAAGTTGGTTAATTTATTTATTAGGATAATTAATATTTGTATTAAGGGATATTGCTTATTTCATTGTAATTTTGTTATACGTAATAACTTTTTTTATGAAGTTGTTCTGCAGAGTAAAATTCTACGCAGTTTTTAAATTTAACGTTTGGTGTTCCCTTCAGCCATTTTTCCGGTACATTTAAAAGCCAGACGAAGGCTGGCAGCGAAGCTGCTAGTTTGATATGAAATATCTCTAACTAAACATACATAGCATATTCACCAAAACATACCTAATAATAATAATAATAATACTGCAAAGGAAAAATTCAAAGTTTTAATTATTTTCTATCTAAAATCTAAAGTTTGGTATCTGCATAAAAGTTTTATTGTCTACGCTTTAGAATTAAAATATGTATTCAAATATATCGACAGCAAAATATTAAATTTTAAGTTTGCATTTATTCCAAATAATTCTAAAATTTTCAGTTAATCATTAAATTATTTACTTACAACCTTTTATAAACTAAAAATTATAAAAAATATGAAAATTTATAAATTTTTAGAGAAAACCTTTCAACTGCGACAAAACTTGAGAGTGAATAGTAATAATCTAATCTCTTTATTTATTTTTTGATGTTTTTCTTCGAGGCATAAATGAAAATACGTATGTTTGTATGAAAATAATTACAATTCTTTTTTCTTACTATAACTTGCTATTTGATGGCGTTTGAACTCTGATAAAGTTTGTAGCCTTAAAAACTACTAGAAACTATCTTCATAACCGATTGTAGATGCTCATCGATAAATCGGGCTCTCGTTAATTTTCAACTGCGAGAAAAACTTCTTCACATATAAGAGTAGGTTGTTTTTTTGTGACTTACCTCACTTGTTTGACAGTAACACCGACAAGCTTACGAAATTCATCGTGGCAAGGAAAGCAAGATTGCGCCTGTCGTTGGCAAGAGCCTTGAGCACAGTTACAGGTGACAGTACGACTTCGCTTAGTTCCGCTCCAAGTTTTGATGGAGAGAACATGGATGGGGGGGACGAGCCAGAGCGTCTCCCAGCCCTTTTCCCCTACCAGCAACCTTTCTAGAGGACTTTCGGCTGTCGTTGGCTCGCCATATATTTAGAGTGCCCGCATGTCGCAAAGGCACTATACATTTACAAGCAACCATGCCTTCTCGAGATTCGAACCCGGGCCTTTCGTTACAGCAGTAGGCTCTCCTAACTACTATTCCACGGCATATAAAGATATTCTCAAATAAAGTGATTACATTGAAATATTCATAACTGAGTGTTTTTATTTTTTGATAAATACGAATTAAATTTAATAAAAATCTGTACCTTTCAAACTTTGGATAAGATTTATATCGTTAATTAGTTAGCCCCATTTATATTAATTACATCGTTAATTAGTTAACTCCATTTTGTTTTTGTGCATTATCCCTCTTCGTTTTTAATGGTAATGAAAATAATGTAAACTCGGGCTTCAAATAACTAAAAATCTTACTATGTTTGCAACAGATACGTAACTGAAATATATTCACGGGCAGCATAAAATTGCCTCTGGGCGGCCAGTTTGAGATCACTGCAAAATAATATTATTTCGTTAATGACATTCAATTATTTTTATTTCATCGTAACTCATATTTCATTTTAAATATTTATAAAATGCTATAGCAAATTAAAGCATTAGAATAGGTGTGATACAAGAATGTATTCTAATATATATATATGTGCTTTACATTATTAAATATTTTTCAGTTTGAAGAAAAATACTTCTGTACTACAGAGTACACATAAAAATTTGAGGACATAAACTCATTTTAAGTATAATCCATATTCCAAGCAAACGATTTAGAACATAATTCTGAAGAAATTAAAAATGTTTTATAGATTTAAAATATTAAAACAGCTCTATATATTGTGTCTGAGATATTGGAAGAGATTTGGATTGCTAACATAAATATATTTTAACATGTTTTATTAAATTACTTCAGACTTTTAAAATCATAGAAAGAGAATGGATTTAAAGTAGCTCTCACATATGTTCAATGATCGTTAAATACGTTTGGTGATATGCAGATAATTATTATTGAATTAATAAACCTTTGTTTTTAATTATTGAGATACATCTACTGGATATATTAAAATCAGGAGATTTTCAAGCTCATCGGTTGAATCAAGATGACACCAGCATGAAATTATAGATTTTATTAACTGTACTTTATTTATTAAATCCTTTCCACTCACCTTCTGCTTCAGTTCCATCCAAAACGTTTCGATCGGATTTAGTTACGGTGATTGTACAGGATATTTCAATCTCCGACTCAATTTAGAAATAAATCATCTTTACCAGGCATGCCCCGATGTCACGATACATTTTTATTCTGGAAAATGAGACCGCTATTTCCCAACACACTCATCAGATGAAGGAAGTATTTTCCTCTTCAGTGCTTGAATATATTGCGCAATATTTATTTTATTTTTAACAGTATGTATGTACTCTACGCGCGTTGAGATGCAATCGCAGATCATAAAGGTAATAAGATGCTTTACTTTCTGTATACAGTAGCGTTTAATTTTTCATTTTTCAAAGAATCCACTTTTGTACTGTATCAAGTAGATAGTTTTCTTTCAGGCTAGAACTAACGCTACTCTTCTACTTTTCATCGATATATGCCATGCACGCTGTGATTGAATTCCTGTTTGTTTAATTAAATGAGTTTCAGCAAACCTGCCTTTCTTTCCACCGTTACATGGAAACAGTAGCAAAAATATACAGCTGTTATATATTTCTCAATTACCTACCGTTATCGAACAGCTTTTGCAAACTTAATTGTCTGAGACTTCAACAATTTCCAATTTTTAGGTTTTCTACGTCTTCCTTTCTATGCTCATCTTCTAACCTTATAATTCTGATATTTGAATGTAAACATAATTTCTGGCTATACTATTGGAACAACTAATATACTTTCAAATGGTAGAAGTAGCATTTTGATTCAGTTTAGTGAAAAGACGTTTCTTCAGTATGAAGTACAATGACTCGGAATGTGTTAGAACTTTTTTTCCTGGCTACGTAATTTAAATTTTCAGCAAAAATAAAAAAAGACAAACTTCCAGAAACTTAACGTAACTTGCGCCATGCTTTTTTAAAATGACTTTCAATTGCGAAGTAATAATAAAGCGGTACTGTCTGATTTATTTTTTACCACAGAATAAAGATAGCATTTCAACAGATTGATTTAATAAATATTACTTTTTATTGGATACTTATTTTTATCAAGAGTCTTTTTTTTTGTCAGTGATAAGTTAAATGTGTAAGAAGTCGGAATTCATCACAGTTTTCTCAACCATGTCATTTAATTTTGGTAAGATTCTTATAACTTACCTGCATTAACTAGATGTTAGCTGAGATCTTGAATTTCCCATTCAAAATGGTGCATTATGTATTACTTTCAGAATCGAAATTATTTTAAAAAAGTCTTTAAGTGCTCAAATTGCATGTTTTATGAGCTCTTCTTATGAGCTGTTTCCTGCAATATCTCATTCATTATTATTTAAATTATTTATAGTTATTTAAATTAATTTTACGAATTCGGAAAAACCTTTCTTAAGGGTTCTTAATTGTTATCAGTTTCCATGTAAAACTTAATTAAAATTTAAGGACAATCTAAATAAAAATTTGAAATAACCCTGTATTATCATAATAATGTTTTAATATTTGAATTTAAAGAAGGAATTCTATACCTTTAAGTATTAAATCTTTAATAAGAACAAGAAACATCATTATAATGCTTGCAATCAGCATTACAAGTTTATTGCTAATAATCTTTTGGGGAGGGATAGAGACAAAAGAGGTAAGTTTTAAATCCATTGTTTTTCTAGAGAGGGCAAATCAGGTAGAACATTTAAGAATTTAATATTTTTAATTAAAATGTTACTCAACATGTGCGTAACTCGTTTACAAATGCATAAATAACTTCTGTATGTACGGGTAAAGTTTGCAGATTGACGAAGACTGCTAATAAGTGATTAACAAATTTGCTTCAATCTAATAAGTAATCGTTTTTTTCTGAAAACATAATTGTGAAAATTTATTGATAATTCTGCAAATCGTATTTAAAATTTTGGACAATTTTATTATTTGAGTGAGTATTATCAAATGTGTTTAATAACTTACAGTTTAAATTTCTTTCCATTCAAGGTTTGTTCATTTCTAAAATATTTTACATGCTTAAGAACACTAATTTTATAGCTGAATTCATAACAGATTGACGCAATCCACCATGCCTGGTCTTATAGTATAAATATTGGCACATCAGATTAGCAGCTGGAAGATTCGTACTTCAAATTCGGGAAGGGCATAGTAGAGTTTTCATGTTCTTAAATCCTAAATGTCCAATAGCAAAGATTTTCATTATTTATAGGATACTTACGGTAAAATGAAACCAATCTTCCACCCAGAAGCGGAAATTAGTAAGAAATAGCACATGTGTACGAGTATTGCATTTTCAGTTGAAGAAGCAGCTTTGTTAAAGGTATGTAAAACAGAAATTTCAGAATAAAAAAAATTCGGCAGCTTACTCTATCAGTGTATACTTGCTTATCTGAGCACTTTCTAAGGTTTGGTTTGGTTTTATTTAGGTTAGACGTTACACATGAAAAAGTCCACGAAATAGAGAAATCCTACGGCTGCCCATGGCAGCCCGTACTCCGGTATTTGAACCCTAGTGTTCAGCGAATTTACCGCTAGGCCACTGGTGGGCCTGTACAGAACCAAGAAATAGGATAAGTGGAAAGTTCGGCTATACTTTTGTGCGTCGAATTAAAAACAGCGATGAAAGCTTCTTCAGTACTTTTGAGACCAGAACATGCATACTGTATTTTAGCGGCCCTAGATCTCATTTCGGATAAAGGTTAAGACTTTCGGAAAATTTACTCATCAAGTAACAATGAAAGCGTTACTATTGAAATGTATAGTAGCGCGACCACCATGGCATTGATAATGTCATTTGAAATAGGGGATTTACTGCAGAAGTACATAATTTTTAAAAGTTTTGTTATTGCTCGAGATGTGCTGGAAATATCTACTATATTAAAATTATGTCATTTATAATTATTATGTTTTATTACATAATTATTCTATCAGATAGCGAAGAAAGTTTGTGAGTAAATAAGGCAAAGTTCTTTCTTGGGAAATTCATTATAGTTTTGCATTTATTCGAAATTCATTATTCGTACACTGAGAAAATAGGAACATATCAATAAACAATCTATTTCATGTTGAAAAAATTGGTTCTCCAGATGTTATATTACAAAAGCAAAGAATTTCTTCGTTTCCTTTTAAAATATTACTTTATTTTTTAACATATTTTTATCATTACAGTCAGCATCTTCATTTGAAATTTCGGAGTCAAAACAACAAACATAGACATAAACAATTTCAAGTCTGTGTTTATACTGAAAACATAGTAAAGGCAGTTTCTTCTACTTAATGCTTGGTATTTGAAATGTATAGTGTATATGGTTGAATGCAAACTCTGGGGCATACAACTACGTGCAGATCCTTCTTGACTCTAATGGGCCCACCAGCTGCCGAGCGGTAAAGTCGCTGAACACTGGTAGTTCTGTCCGAGGTTCGAATCCCGCGAACGGGCTGGCTGCATGGGCGTTTTCGTGGTTTACTCCATGTGTAACGTGTATACGAGCCAGTTTCCCTTAGAACGTCCTCCACGCAGGCATCCCTCCTCTTAGGCAGATAGCCCTAGTGTGCTTTGCCAAAATTAAATACACACACACTTGACTCTAATGAGCTAGAAATGCATATTACCATTGTCAGAAATATCCACACAAGCTTAAATTCAGTAAATGTTTGGCTACAAGCAGTAGAGCATTCTTCCCGCAGGGAAATCTTTTGAATAATTGGCGCGTATTGATATAGAAACGTGTTTCTACTCTCAGCCGCAACAGATGCACACGCAAACATATGTTAGATATATCTGAAACCTTGAATACAAACGCACATAGAGACAAAAGATAATTTTTTACATTATATAAAACATTAAAATATTTCTATACTATTATTTCACTCTTAAGCGAAAACACAAGAACTTATTTAAAGTGCAATATAAAAATTATGGTCACATTAGTTTAAATTTAGATAATAATGATGAAAATCATTAACTCTTTGAACAGCTTATGGAAAAAAATGGGTGTACCTAATTTTAAGAATAAACTGTCCCATCATTAACTTCACTGAAATCTCCAAGGAATTTCGAAACCGTTGACGCTCTCATCGCTAATTTGTATCAGTAAAACGTCTCTCTGCCAAACTAGATTTTAGTAGTTGCGATGGAAAAAAGAATTTTTTTCTAGTCGGGTATTTCCTTTTTTCTGTTTTAGTCTATAATATATGAGAGAGAAATTAAAGTGGAGCGAAGCTTACTGGAAGGGAGCCAATTTCTGAACTGAGGCGCCGATGTATATATAGTCGATGGCCTTCCTAGCCTATCATTCTTGGCTATCCGGGGCAGTAAGGAAAGAAAACACAGGTCGCGAAGAAAATCGATAAGACAGCAGAAATGA